GTGTGTGTGTGTGTGTGTGTGTGTGTGTGTGTGTGTGTGTGTACGTGCTACTGGAACCTCACAGATGATGCCAAATGGTATGATTAGGCTTTTAGGAAATTAACTCAACAAACACAGAATTTGCAAGGCTTTCTCAAGTGAATAGAGCACCTTCTACAACACCTGGCTTCCTTATAATCCAGTTACACAAACGACTCTCATAGTGAAATACTCCAATTATGGATAGAAAAAAGGCAGAGGCAGAGAAGAAATCACACCAGAAGGGGAGCAGGAGAAAGTTTCACAGAGATGGGATCTGAGTGTGGTCTTAAGTGATAAACTGGGTTCTGACATGCAGAATGGGATCTGCCCAACAGCAGGATTAGTGTAAGGCAGGATGTGTTTGCTTGAAGGGTCCTCTTGCTCTGGAAATCTATGCGGGAAAAACGGCATAGTTTATTCAGGACTAGCAAAATATATTTCAGGAGCTGAGCTATTTGTTTGTGGGCTGCCTAAGCATTTCTCTATCTCTGCTTATCTAGGCAATGAATGTGAGCCAGTTGGTTGACCATCTTGCATTGTAAAAACAGCTAAATGTGATGCGAGACATGCTTGGAAATCTTCAGGTTGAATGGCTTTGAAGAAAAGTCACATAATATTCATGTGCTACTTCTGAGCATAAAAATTTGAGGTGATATGAGTAACTGCTCCTAAACAAATGCTTTACTGGAAAGCTGCCTGTATATTCTTGTCCTTTGAAAAAGCCCAAGGATGGCACTAGGAGATCTGTGTGACTGTGTGTAGTTTGGCTGCTTTTGTTCATTATTTCTTGAATGTGGCCACCATGAAGTGAAAATTCTTGAGCAGAGTGTTTTGTTCTTTCTTTCCAAGCCTCCCCTGTGTGCCATGTCAGGGTGATGTGAGCAGTGAGGAAGAAAGAGGGCTCAGGTTCCAGCCTTGCCAGGTGTGTCAGGGAGACTTCCTCTGAGGCTTCCAAAGCCTTTACACACTTGACATGTAAACGCGCAGATGCCGCTGTATCCCAGATCTGTCTTCAGAAAGTGTGCTTCAAGACACTGTGCTGCACGGTGACCTCCTTTAAGCTAAATTGCAAGGCTTCAGGGCAGATAAACTTTTAGATGTTGAGGTGCCACCGAGTAATAGTTTAAATAAAAGTCAGACTCAAATAAAAATGAATAGGATCCAAGCATGATATGATTCTCAACATTATAAACCAAATCAAAGGATTCATCTGTCTGTTTTTATACCTGGGGTCTCGATCAAGGGCTGAAAGCAAAAATAGATATTTTATCCTGAGCTGAATATTTTTTCCACTCGATTTTCTTTTCTTAGATTCTGGGAGGGAGGGACTGTGCTGAAGAGACAGGAGATGGGTATCTGGCTGGCTGGCAGCCTGTTTTCCCTGTTAGTACTTTATGTGGGCAGAGGTGTGGGGAAGGTGGGAATTCCCATGATTCCCACAGTGAGGGCACTAAAACACTCTGGCAGGTTCAGCGGGCTCCTGTCAAAGTGCACCTGCATTCCACTGGAAGTCTAGGGCTAGAAGCAAACAACAGAAGTGATTGCTCTGTGGCTCCCATGGGTATCAAGCTCTTTCCCCTAAGCCTACCTCTACTCTTTGCTGGGCTCAGGCACTAAATATTTGTCACTTCTTTAAAACTTTTTAAAAATTTATTTTTATTTAATGTTTATGAGTATTTTGCTTACATGTATGTAAGTACACCCATGTGTGCAATGCCCATGTAAGTATGGTTGTTAGCTGCCATGTGGGTGTTGGGAATGAATCCAGGCCCTCTGTAAGAGCAGCCAGTGCTCCTAACCATTGAGCTCTATCCCCTATTTGTCCCTTCTGAGTCAGCAACAAATGGATCCTATAGACATATAGGATGGGGTTTCCTGGCTCAGTGATTCCCTTCCTAATTCTTTTTCTCCCAGTCTGCCAGACCTGTGCTCAGCACTCACAGTTCCCAGACAGAAGGGCCAAGATAATGAATGTAGATTACACCTGGATTTGAGACAAATTGAAGGTAAATACCCATTAAAATAAGTTTAATCAATTTATATTTTTCATATTTTGCCAAGAAAAAAATCACCAGGCAACTGTCTTCTGAAAACAAGTGATGGAATGCATTTTAACCCTTAGCAGATGGAGAGAGATTTTGTTTAAATCTATAAATTTCTCACATTCCCTGGAAAGAAGCTGTACTGTTCAGAATCATGGAAATAGGCATTCATCTTTCAGAATACTTTGCACATATTTTCACTTTCTTTTAAATAAAACTGATTTGAATGAAAACTGGTTCATACCTGATGGGTTCTATGTCAACCCTCTTACAGAGGAGGCTACTGTCATTCTGCCAAGGTGCCCAGCACCCTCTCAGAGACATGTTGAAGTCATGGTGCAAGAGCACTGGACACTGAGGTGGAGAGACAGTATATACCTGTCTGTCCTTCACTCTCAGGGTGACCTCAGACAAGCCAACTCACTTGTCTAAGCCTCAGTGTGCCCATCCATCATGAAGGACTAAGTATTCCCTCCTAAGACTGCCATGAAGATGGAACGAGACGTACAAACACCGTGTGAACTATCAAGTACTACACTAGTCTATTTATATCTTTTTTGTCCCTCCCCAAAAGTATTTGAGGGGGCTCAGAAAAAATATATAACATGCTTACCCACTGAACCATCCCCCAGCCCCTAATTATTGTATTTTCATACTGTTATATTTCTAGTATTCAATAATTATTATATTCTAACATTATACTGCAAGTAGACTACAATTGGTTAAAATATTACAGTACGGAAGATGCTTCTGCCCAATTTTTCATGAATTTTACGGTATGCTCATATCCAACCTGGCCAGCCGAAACAATGCCAGAACTAAATTTTTGCTTTTTTT